GCTTCTTTTTTTTATATATACAGACATATACATTAATTGTACGTTTTTACTCTTTATTTTTCTGCATATTTTTTAATATAGGTAAATATATATATATATATATATATCACGCGCAAATACAATTGATGAAAGATAGTTTTGAGTGCAAATTTTCTTTTTCTGTCAATTTTCTTATTTGAAGTGTTTTGAAAATAATATTGAATTTGAATGAAAGGAAAAAAAACCTTGAGTTGATTGTAAATAAATGGGCCATTTGATTTCTATTTAAAATGAATGTATGTATTTATGGGTGTTTTTTTTTCTTCTCTTGACTTTTTCATTGGCCTTGGGTATATACATATATAGAAGTACTAATCATCTTTGTATCTTATATATGCCATTATCAGCATGAATAACCACAAAAATAAACGTTGTCATCATGATTACTCAAGGTCATTACATGACCATGTGAGCAAATAAAAATAAAGAAAGAAAAACAAATCGAGTAAATTTATTGTCATGTTATATGAACGTTAGGAATGTTAAGGAAACAGATAGATAGATTATATCTTAGGAATTTATACATGTAAGTTTATACAATAAGAAAAAAAAGAATCGTTCAGACAGTCGATGTTAGTATTGTTCGTTGTCGTCATGTCTGCGTATATGTAAGAGAAAAAAAATGAGAGACAAAAAAGAGCAATCTGATGACGTTGTTGTTAGAGCGTTACTTGACAAGTAATACATTTGTTACGACAAATGCACGTTACATCGACGCAAATCTCTCTTGTATGTTCTCTCTCTCTCTCCCTTTCATTTTATCTTCTCATAGTCATAAGGTAACGTCTTACATTCATTTGCGTATTTACCACCTCACCTTTTTCTTTCTCTCTTTTTTTTTGTGTTCATTTAACTATATGTTCTTTGTAGCATTAATCTTGTCAACAAAATATAGAAATGGGTCATTGAATATTTTTAATTGATACAACCGACATTTAACAGGTAAAATGAGAATCAATTAATGACAGTTGTTGTTGTTATTGTTGCTATTTCTGTAATATATTATCGTAACAACTTCAATGTTGTACAGCAATAAAGATACAAAATTGTCCTTTAAATTTCTAAATCGAATCTACAAAATGACCATTAATGAATAAAAAAAAAACTTACTCGTTTTTATTACATTACTCTAATTGCAATCGTAATGCGTCTAGATGAAAACGATTTGTCTGTTCATTTTCTATCTTTTTTTTTAATCAGTTAAATAAGAAGAAGAAGACAAAAAACTGTTAACATTCATTTGAAATAAAATAGAAAGCTGACACTTTTAAATAGACGTGACTCTTCTATTGATATGCAGATATAAAATTCTAATCTAACATCCTTAGAATAGTAGACAATTTATTCAATTTCAAAGACGCAATATGACGACAAAAAACATAGACCGAGAGATATATGTTTGATAGATAACTGTTGTATTATTTTGATGAAAAGTATCCAGTTATTATTACTGATGATAGTATTATGTTCGAAAAGGCCTTGTGAAAATAAAGGAAACTTATATTATCTATCTGTTTTCTGTTATGTTGTTTTTAGTCTTAATCAACTATTTTTCTTCTCTCTCTTTTTTTTGTATTATTAATAATAGAATATCTACATACGCTTCATATAATTAAATATAATCAGCTGTTCTAACTAGTTTTTAAAAATATTTTATATATATATTTAGATTACTCATAGGCATGGAAGAATGCTGCCTATGATAACTCATATATTTTATATTTAATATCAATGATTCTAAATATTTTATCATTAACTAATCATATGTTTGACTCGTCATCTTCATCCGTCATCGAAAATTCATTATCCGATGAACGTGATAATTTATCAAAACGAAAAAATATATTAAAAAAACAACAACAGCAAAATTATACAGTATCGAATCGATATCATCGATTAAAACCAACTGAAAATTTAACTACTACAACAATTAATCCAGTAAAAGTTAATATTACTGAAGATGAAGCTATAGATTCTATGTGGTCATCTTCTTCAGGTATATAAAAATCAGTATGAATTTTTGTATCATATAGTTTTTCTTATTTAGATGATGATAATCATTTATTAAAAACTTCAACTATTACTGAACAATATTCCAATTCATCATCATCTTCTGATTCATCTTTTGATCTATGTTCAAACAGTAATGATTCTGATTTAAAAACACGTTCTTTATCATCTGGTTATGAATCATCATTAAATTCTATTCCGGATCATTTATTTTCATCATCACCAGATTCGATAAGAATACCGGATTGTAATCTTGTTGAACAATTTGTTAATTTACAATTACAAAAACAATCATCATTTGATCAAGATATAGCTTCTTCATCATTGAGTTCAACATCAGGTTCATTTCGTTCTCACGAATCGATTTTAAATATTCATTCACCTTCATATTGTCGAAAATGTATTAGTAATAATCAAGTATCGAGTGATACAGATGATGATTCACAAGCAACAACAATATCAACGAATGTATTACCATTACAAGAACAACAAAATAAACGACCAAGAAGTTTACCAATAGCTATTCAACAATCAAAAGGTATAATAAAGGATGATGATGATGACGATGAAACAGATAATAGTTCTCAAAATTCTCCTCCTTCTTGTCATTATTCAATAAATCTTTCTCAAAAAACTCGTTTTCGTCCATGTGAATTAAATACTGATATATTTCCAGAAACTAATTTAACTATAGCAACAATAGATAAATCAAGTATTAATGAATCAACAACAATTACTCAAAAAAATTCATTAGAACATTTTATAATGAGTCCAACTGATAAAGTTAAAATACAAATGAAATATCAAGAAAATAATCTAAAAAGTGTAAATATTCGTAATAAAAATTTATTTAGATCAATTCTTGTTTTAAAATTTTAGAATGAATTAAAAATTTCTCAACCTGAAGATATTGATTTTAAACGATCAAAACTAAAAGCTATTCGAGTACTTTATCAAAATCGAATTAAACTTAACAGTATTTCTTCTCCGGTGACACAACAAGTATAATAAAAATATTTATTTGAATTACTTTTTGTTCTTTCTATTCTAGAACTTAACTAAACTTCCATTGAAAACAATAGGATATTGTGATTCTCCTTTAGCTAAACGAACTGTTAATCCACGGTTATTTAGAAGGTATAAGACTAATTCTTTCTCTTTAAAGTTTTATAAAAATATATTTGTTTATGTTTAGTGCTTTATCATGTAGTGTATTCGAAGCTGATGATGAACATGAAGTTGTTTCATCATCAACTCGATCCGGTGTTAGTGGAAAGCATGAAAAGTTTCAAACTGAAATATTCAATTGTTTACGAATTAATTTTATAGTAGATATATCCTTCGAAATTAGTTTTAGTTTTATTTTTCTATCTAAAGGAATCATTATTACATGGAAAAATTCTTCCTTGTGGTATACTCGATGGTTTTACAATTAAATTAGGTGCAAGTGGACTTTTCATGCCTAAACAAGTGGCTTTACCTGTTACAACATTCTGGTTTAATGTATCTGAATATCAAGCAGCATCGCCTTATCTCGTATGTATCAACAATTGTTTGAATTCTATTGAATATAGAGAACTTATTCTCTAGGGTTATATAAATTTACAAAGTTTACCAAAACGTGGCTATCATACGCCAACAAAAGGAACGATAACTTTAGCTTTATTAAATCCAAATGGAACAGCAGTTCATTTATTTTTAATTGTATATGATTTAAGTGATATGCCAGTTGATCATCGAACATTTATTCGTCAACGAATTGTTATGATGCCAGACAAAACTCATAGTAATACAACAGATAGACAATCATCAAAAGAAACTCTTAGATATTTAGCTCATATTAAGTATGAAATTTTTAGTAGTTTTTCTATTCAAAATAATAATAATAATTTCTTGTATTTTAGTTTTGTAACATCTCAAACAGGCAAACTCTATATGCATTCGGATATACGATTGATATTTGCACGTAATAAACTTGATTATGATGAACGAACTGGAAATGGTAAACCTCAATTAGTTACATTAACAGATGTACCGACACCAAAATATTGGCCACGTAAATAAAGTAGAAAAGAAAAAGAGTTAAAAATTGTATTTATATAATTTTATTGTTTAATATGTATGTTTATTTTATTTTCTTCTCTTTGATTTTTTTTTTATAATTTAAAAATAATACAGCAAAGAAAGTATTCTACATACAAATCTTTAATTCATAGAAGTTTATCCGTAGTGAATAAATATCTAGAGATGTTCTGAAAGTGAAACGAGTCAAAACCTATTCAACCTTAACTAAACAAAGATTGTATCATGTATGAGGCAAAAGTAAAGGTCGAATGAATACGAAAACAGTAAACAAAAAGTATTTGTACTTAAAACATGTACTTGTACTTTAATCGACCTTGTTAGAAGTATACATACAACGTGTTTGTATTTATATTTAAGTAAGAAAATAATACTTGATGTTTAAATTTGATATATACATAAAATCGATTTTGTCTTGCACAATAGTTAGCATTGAAAAATTTTACAAAACTATTGTAATATGAATTGATTGAAAATTAATGAAAATATTAATATTTTAATCAATGATTTCTTTCCCTCCCTCTCATATGCTGGTATTACTTCTAAAGCTTGATTTTCTTAACAATCAATATCGATAAATAATGATGTTTTTATGGCTAATGATTATCGATAAATGTAGGTCTTGATGACATAAGAAAGAATGTAAACAGATTTCGAATCATACTTTAAGAGTCAAAATAGATTTTTGTTTTTCTGTTTTGATGATAGATTACTTAAGTATAATTTCAAAAATAAATTTGCTATAAACAAGATGTAGTATTTACAAAGTAAATAGAAGATTAAATTTTTTACGTCATTAGTATGTGATGTTCTTCACTGATTCGAATACGTACAAAAACAAAATAGAAATTTTCAAGTAAAAAACTATAGAGTTTATATATTTAAAAAAAGTAACTTTATTATACTCACTAGACTCCGTAGGAGTCAGAACAAAAGGATACACAATAATACGAACGCAAAAGAAATATGTAATGAATTGCTTTCAATATGAAAATAGATGTAAATATAAAAAACTATTGCCATCGAGTTTTTTCACGACATCCATTATTAGATGAAAGATAATAATTTTGTTGATTAGAAGATGATGGAAGTGGATAATATCCTGTTGGTGGACGACTAGATGTTGTTGTTGATTGTTGAATTTGATTGGATGTTTTTAATTTCTGTTGTATTTGTTTATTATCATGTGTTTCTTGATTTTTTCTTTTATTTGTTAATGAATTATTTAATAAAATAATTTGTTGTTCAAGTTTACTTTTTTCTCTTGCATGATGTTCAATTAATGTCATGTTTTTTGATGGAATTATTTGTGTTTGATTTAAATCTTCTATATCAATTAATAATGTATCTAATGGTAATTCTTGTCCATCATAATACATTTGTACAAGTTGTAAATAATCTAATTCATTTGTACGTGGTACACGTGCTAATGCTTTTAATTGTGCATATAAATTTGGATAAATATTTAATATAGAATCTAATGGAAGATAAGTATGATTGCTTGTACAAATATATGGAATTATACGTGTTGTTATAGAAAATGCGCCACCTTGTAAAGCTAAAATACTTTTATATTGACGATTTATTTTTGATGTTGGATTAGCTTTAGGTAAAATTTTAACATAAATAAAATTTTTTGTACCAATAAGTATATGATAAACATTAATTAAGAAAGCATTTTCAGGTATTTGTTCATTATTTATTTTACATTCTCGTATCATAGAATTGATTAATATTATATCAGCTGATGATGCACGTATTAATATTGAACGTAATTCATCTAATTCAAGAATCTTACATGCTATAAGAACTTGATAAGGTACTAAACGTTGACGATTTTTTACTATAAACGGTAAATAAACATTATTTATTTGTACCCAACCACTACCATCTATTCGAGCAGTATGCAAAAATGTTGGACAAAGTTCAGGTGGTATAGAAATATTAGATGAATTGTTGGAAGATTGTGTGCTATGTTGACTATTTGTTACTATTTTAGAACTTAAAAGTTTATTTGACTGTAGCGATAATGAATTATTGATTGGAGAAGGTTTCACCGGGTATGTTTTTAATTCGTTGGATGTAGATGAAAGAGACATGAGAGGTTTTATTGTTGATGGTAAAATATACGAAGAATGAATACTTGGTATTGATGGTTTTTTTTCATTGTTTGAATGAAAAATGTTTTTCTGAGAGAGAGGATTTGAATTGGATAATTTTTGAGCATGAGCAATAAAATCAAGTAAATCTTCGTATCCAATTAATTGATCATTTGACTGTGTTATACGAAAAGGTAATTTTTCACCAAGATGATAATCAAAAATTCGT